GAAATGAGCGAAAAATACCTCTATATACGCGCTCCATACGTATTCATTTCATACCGTGTTGACTGCGCGGGACGTTAAAGGTGAGTATAAGTATGTTTTTTATTTCTGAACTTCTTGAACTAGTGCAAGAAGTGTACACTAAAGCGTTTTCTATTCCCGAAATGACGTTATCGATATTGTTCGTTATTCCAGTGCAATAGAACTTAGTGCATGAGTTCACTGAACTGGCTGCACTGGGTCAGTGCAAGCAGTGCAGGGCAAATGAAATTCAATCAGTAGCGGTAATTTTGAATACCATAAGATATTAATCAATAAGTATGAAAGTAGAGAACTTTCTTAGAGTATAAATTCAATATTTGATTGATATTGTTTATATATTTTAATACATAGTACTTGAGATATGCAAGTTAAAATTATCAGCAGTTACTTTAGAAAACAGTATTTATTAAATATTAAATTTGTAGAAAATTTGTAGATTAGAAAGTCGGACGCTAATACATAATAATATTATATATAAATATTACATATTAATAATATTATATATAAATATTACATATTTGTTTTTAAATTTATACTTACTGTATTCCATGATCATTATTTTCTAGTCTTTGTAATACCTGCAGGTTGAAAAACATAATTCGAAACGTTAATTTAACAATAGACAAGAGACAAACAATAATAGCAAATAGATTCTCCTTGGAAACTATATTTGTTTGTAAGAATTAAGATATTTGTTATTTAAAAATAATCTCGAAGGAGAAAAGTATAAGGAAGAAAGCTAATACCGGACGGAATAATGGACGGGAGATTCGACCGACGGACACCGACGTGTAGAAGTCTCATTATATATCAAAGTGTCATTTATTTGATAAATCGGACTTTCGCACATTATTCCGTCTGGCATTCCATAGAAATGGCAAACGATAATGTAGAAATAGCATTTATCAAAAAAGACAATGCAGGAAACATTCTGATAAATGAAAATGGATACGTTACATGTATCTCTGAAGGTATTAAGATTGCCCATCTAAATTTAGTATTTATATATTATTTAATGAAGAATTCAAAATTATTTAGTATTATGAATATCAGCCTCTGTAGATTTAAATTTGTGTATCAACATCTGTGTAAACAAAATACATAAACAATATATAAGCAATATATAAAATATATAAAAATATATAATAAAATATATAAACAAATATATAAACAAAATATAAAAATTAATATTGTATGCATTTATAGGAGGATTAGAATTTCACATATTATACAAAGAAATCGATTTTAATTTTGACAGTATGTGCTGTACTACTGATAATAAAAACATATTAATAACATGGCATGATATTCCTAGTAATGCAAATGAATTAAATAATGAGGATATGAATAGAAAAGAAGATGTATATAGAGAAGCATTTTCTTGGACAGATACGAATACAAAATTGTTTCTATCTTTGTATAAAGAAAACATAGATCTATTTGTACAAAGAAAAATTAAAACAAAAAAGATTCTGTGGCAAAAAATTTCAGAAAAAATGAAAATTCAAGGCTATAATGTTTCTGCAATACAAGTAGAAAACAAATATAAATCATTGGAACGATCTTATAAAAATGTAATAACCCATAATAAAAAAAGCGGAAGAAATAGATTAAATTGTCCTTATGAGACGTAAGTATATCAATAAATTTTAAAATGTATAAAAAATTAATATTTATTAAAACACATTTAATTTAATTACAGGGAATTAGCAGAACTATTAGGCGGAAAACATAACATTAAACCCTTATTGTTATCAGGAAATAAAGGCATAATTTAAAAAATGATAGTAGGCCAACATCTTTGTAAGTTTTATATTAGATTTTAAGTAAGAAAAGTCTTAATTATTAGGAACTGTTTCTTATATAATAAAATTGTTTTAATCATTTATTTTAAATATATTAAAATATAATTATAGATCTAGCTGTAATGAAAATAATGAAAATAATTATAATAATATAAATACAAGTATACAAATTAAAGCAACATGTAATCAACTAACTGATAATGTCGCATCAAGCAACATGTAATGAAGAAATTTCGCATCAGACAGCATATAATGAACTAACAATATCACAGCAGGCAATATGTAATGAATCAATAATATCAGATCAAATATACATAACGAATTAACAAC